CCTGATGCTGTGGGTGGCTGGGACAGCCGTCACTGGACCAGCCTCCCTGAGACGGAGCAGAGCTCTCCAGGGTTCCAACTAACTGGACAAACAGAAAGCCATACATCCAAGACGGAGCCCCTCCTGGGAGGGGACACAGGGCTGGACATGGCAAGGTCAGAGTACCCGCTCCACCTAGGGAGCAGAAGGAAACAAACGCAAGCTCAAGAAGACATTCCCATTGAAATGGCAGCAAGGACACATTTTCGTGCGTGTGAGTATTCTCAGCACATCACACATAAAAGGCAAACCTGCCGTAACTCGACTCACGACAGAAAACGTCTGAGAACAGAGCAAGGCAGGTCCACTCTAACCCATGGGACATGTGGACAGGCTCCCGTACAAAGCAGTCCTGCAGAGGGTGGAGTGAGGACAGAGGACAGGGGAGCGGCTCGGCCCGAGGGAACGGTCTGAAGTGTGCATCTAGTAGAGACACCGTCCTGGGGCAGCATAACCGTGGAGGCCCAGGTGCAGGGCAGGAAGCCTGCGAGTTGCCTCCAGCGCAGGGCTGTCGCTGGCTCGACACACTCTGCTGGCTGACAAGACCGTCTCCCTGAGGGGTAAATGCGTTGCTGGACTCAGGGTGGGGACCCACCACGGCACTGGCGCTGGCTGGGGCGGGCTCGGGGCCCCCGTTCACGTCCACATTCCTCTCCCGCTTGGTCTCCTCTAGGTCTGTCACTGTGCTCGGGCCCTTCTTCTTCTTGAGTTTTGCCAGGATGGAGGACTCCCGCTCTGGGAATGGGGGCATCTCCTCCAGGACAGTTGCCTGGTTGGAAAAAACAAAGGGTCAGCCTGGTCCAGAGCTCCCGCTGCCCAGCCCAGTGGGGCCATGGAGGGACGCTACCCACCAGGATGTCGGTGCTGGCGATGGAGCTGAGCCGCAGGTACTCCACGGCCCGCTGCTGCAGCTCCACGTCGGCGTTCCTCAGCTGGCTGTCGCTGCGCAGCACGTCCTGGATGGTGGCCTTCACCTCCGGGAAGAGGTTCACGAACTTGATGTAGGTGGACAGCAGGAGCGCGCGGGTGGGGACACTGCACAGGTGGAACTTGGAGTGGAGCAGGTTGAACTGGATCAGAGGGCTGAGGCAGGGCAGGGGGGCAGAGAGGAGACAGCAAACATTACCGCTCGTCTCGGAGGTCACCGGGCCCTCGGCCTGGCAATGAGACCACCCGAGTGTCTGCAGCAGTGGGACGGTGGGGAGGACCCCACTGCTAACCCAGAAGCCTTCATGAGGATCTGATTGCAAACCTTCCCAAGAAGGCTAGCCATCTGAGCAGAGCTCCACATTCTCCACTAGGGTCCCCTTTTTGGTATTGTTTTCTTTTTTAGAAGGAGATTTTTTGCTATAAAACATGTGCACTCGCAAGAGAGAGAGAGACAGAAAGCAAGAAACCACCCCCCAGGGGGCATAGCTACACCACAGTCCCTCCACTCTCCTCTCAGGAGTTGGGACAAACACACACTCACACCTGACCCGAGTTTTAAGCTGCCAGGTCCAGGACTTGAACCACAGTTGACTACATGAGAGTCCAGCAACATAACTATTACGCCATCTGCTGGTTTTTTTTTTTTTTTTTGGAGAGGTTTTTGCCATAGGGTGCATGCGCTCGCCAGACAGAGACAGAGATACAGAAAGTGAGAAATCGCCCCCCAGGGGGGATGGCCATGCCGCAATCAATCCCTTCTCTTCTCTTCCATTCTCTTCTCGGGATCTTGGGAACGCACACACACACGCCTGGCGTGAGTTTAAGCCACCGGGTCCGGGACTCAAACCGCAGTCAACTACATGGGAGTCCAGCGACATAGCCATTACACTAACTGCTGGTCCCCCCTTGATACTGTTTTAAGGAGAATAAAAGGATGTCTGAATTTACAATAGGAGTGGTTTTGTGGGACCCAGCAGTGACGCCCAGCCCTGCCTCCAGGCTGCCCTAATAAGCACCAGAGGACCTGCTCCTTCTACCCAGACCAGCGGGGCGAGGGGGCAGGCGGCGAGCCCCGCTCAAAATGCGCACCCCCGGCTAATCCCCAGAGGGCTCTTACCTGGACCTCGGGTCCCCAGCTACCAGGTTCCCGAACTCTCCCAGGATGCGCACCCCCGGCTAATCCCCAGAGGGCTCTTACCTGGACCTCGGGTCCCCAGCTACCAGGTTCCCGAACTCTCCCAGGATGTAGCCGCCCACTTTGACCAGGTTCTCGTGGCACGCTGGGGCCTGAAGAGCCTGTGGAACCACAAAGACCGTGAGCCACGGCACGGGAGAGAGGCGGGCAACGCGGTGTGCCGTGTTGGCAGCTGGCGCGCCTTCCCGCCCGATACCCCCGACTCCGGGCCCTCCCGGCCTCCCTCAGCACCTACTGCAGACCTGGCACCCGGCAGCAAGCCTCGCAGACGCAGGGATCCCCGAGGACACTGCCGCCCAGGCCAGGCTGCCTCCCGGCACACATCAGTGCCCCCTGTCCAGCCTGGCCAGGGAAGAAGGCAAAGTCCACCACAGGAGGCCCACGTGTGTTCTCACACGCAGGCCGGTCAAGCCGGACCCTGGGCGGTTCTCTCGGGTGGCCCCTTGAGAGCCAGAGTACCTGAGCAACAGACTAGGAGGAAAGGGAGGCTCAGTGAGGGCCTCCACAGCAGAGCCCAGCCTCGCGAATGGCTGATGGCACGAGCAGAGAGAACCCCGGCACCCCAACTCGGAAGGGCTCCGGAGGGCACCCTCGAGGACGCGCCCTGCCCCCCGTCAGGCTCCTGCTGCTCATACCTCAAACACGGTCTTGGCGGCGTAGCCCTGCACATCGTCCCGGTTGATGACGATCTGAATGACTCGGTACCACACCTCTTCGCTCACGTAGTCGCCCGCGATCCGGATCAGGTTCAGGATGGTGTCCACGTACCACGTGTAGTCGACGGCGTACTTCTCAGCGAGGATGGCGACCTTCAGCACCTACAGGAAGACGGTCTGCTGAGGGCGTCGGCGACACCAAGGCTGAGCTGTTGCCTAAGTCAACGTGAGGCCTTCAGAAGGACCTAAACGTTTCTGCAGAAGTTCACCAGTCTCGCAAAGGCCACCAGCCCAGGAAGTTCAAGGTTTACAGTGAAAGTGACAGAGTCAGGCCTACGTCCAGGAACAAATGCCACAGAAAAGGCCGTGGGCACTTGACCTCACCCCACCCACAGTGCCGCTCCCTCAGAAACCTCCAGCTGGGGTCAGTGTTGCACACCATTCCTCCGCCACTACCAAGACCAGCGCCTGCCACGGGTCACCTTACTGTCAACCCCACCTTCAACGGCCCCACCCTGGACTCCTGACAGCCACTCTCCTGCTCACCCATCTTTCTGAAGGGTCTCCTCTGAGGGTTCCTCCTTCTCCTCTCTCCCTGGGCCCCTGCTCACTCTCCATGGGGGACCCACACACTCATTTGCCCTCCCCGAATCCACAGCATCACGCCCTGGAGGGGTCCACCAGCCCCAACCTACAAGGGCAACAGCCCAGGGGCAACTCTGCCTCCCAGAGTCACCCACGTTCTGAACCGAGCCCTTGGCAGGCAGCATCAGCTGCTGGAACTAGAACCGGCAGTCACCGTCCCACACACCCACCAGCCCCTCTACACCTCCCCCCAGAGTCCTGCCTGGAGCCTGGCCCCGTCCATCTGCTCTGCCTGCCCCCGCTCCCAAAGCATGGGGCAGCACCCCCTCACTGCCTCCTCCCCTGTGGCACACACCCTATTCCACAGAAGCGGAGCCCCTTCCTGCACCCCCCCTGCACGGCCTCCTCTGCCGGCCCTCCGGGCAGCCTCTGCACTACCGTCCTCTCTTGACCAGACCACGATGCCTCTTGCAGGAAGTCACAGGCCCCTAAGGTGGGGCAGTGCCTCCATCCATCTCACTGCAGCCCGTGCAGATCTGCAGTCCTGCTTACGGTCTGCCTTCTCCATGGAGGGAGGGCTCCTGTGGGCAGCGAGGGGCTGGGTCCAGGCGTGGGTGCCCAGAACCAGCACGCCGCTGCATGGAGAGGAGCACCTGTCCCGCCCTGAGAGACAGCGTCTGTTTTAGGTCTTCTTACAGTAACACCTGACTGAGACGCACTCGTTTAAAAGGAAGTAAGAGCCAGTATTGAGCCGATTAGTGCCCAAGTGCTTAAAACCTGCACGATGCCCTATAAGACAGGCGTCCGACTAGTTAACACACCCAGAGCAGACCCAGCCACGGCAGTGCTGGTAGTCACACGGGAGACCCAGGTTTGGTTCCCAAGGCAATGTGATCACTCTCCGTGCAGCTGTGGCTCCTGTAACCACAGCGAGCGGGAAGCCGGGCAGATCACTCCACATCCAGACCCTGTCAACAGTGCCTATCTCTGTCTGCGTGTGCTTCGCTCTCTTTCTTGTAAAAAACAAAACACCCAGACAAGGATAAGAAACGCTATTCCAGTGACTCCACTCCCGAGAGCCAATCCCACCTCTCCAGGAGCCAAGACCAGGCTACGCTGCCCTGCAGTGAACTCCCCACTCGCCCCTCACTGCCTGTCCTTGTGGTCTCCTGCCCAGACTCAGACTAGCCCGTTCCCCACCCCCATCATCCTGGCTCCCTCCAGGCTTCCCAGCCCACTGTCTACAGGGCTGACAGTTCAGCTCAGGAGTTACCTTTGGCCTGGGCAGGCCTCGAGCTGCTGCTGAAACACAGCCACACCCTTAGCATTGAGGCCCCGCACCTAGGCCCCGGTCCAATAAATGACTACTGTAAACCAAGAAGGCTCACCTGTGCAAAACCACACACCTCAGAAGCTCCCAGATTTTCATTTTCAATACCCTCTCTCACAGCCAGCTCCAACGCCAGCACTGCTGCTCATAGAGTTCCTGAGAAAGTGTTAAGCTGCAACTCCTCCCCCAAGACAAAGATGACACTTTTCATACAACAAAGAAGAGCTGTCTCAGTCTCAACAGAATAGTGGCTGCACTGATTTTTTTAATGCCAGAGGGCATGTGCACACACAGAGAAAGAGAGAGAGAGAGAGAGAATGTGCACAGATACACTCCCCAGTAGGGCCCAGTAGGGCCACAATCCTTTTTCCTCCCATTCTCCATCCAGTCAGGATCCTGGGCATGTGTGCACACACCTGCCATGTGTTTTAAGCTGAGGGGGACGAACTCAAATCGTGGTCAGCCACGTGGGATCCCGCATCTGCACAGGGCTTAACCACTCTGCCACAAGGACAGCCCTGATCTTTACGCCCAGGATGCACGTCCCCTCCAGCTACATCCCACCAGCCCCTCATTAGGGTAAACCATGATGGGCTGCAAAGAAGCCAGCACAGACTTGAGTGTGTGGGACAGAGATCACTCGGGCCCTCTTCTCTGCTGGCCATGTGGTCCCAGAAATTTCTTTCCTTGAACTTTCGTGTGGTCAGTTGTTTAAACAAGAAGCAACACTTTGCTGAGCTTCAGCAGTTTCTCAATGTGTGTACCTACTGTGCAGATGACAAAGCAATGCTAAAAATCAAGATTACCATGGACTAAACTATAGCTTAGATTCATTCCTTCCTAAAGATATCATAAAGATATAGAAGAACATGCCAAGCGGGACCAGCAGTTAGCGTAATGGCTATGTCGCTAGACTCCCACGTAGTCAACCACAGTTCGCCTCCGGGCCCAGTGGCTTAAAACTCATGCCAGGCACGTGTGCGTGTGTGCCCATGATCCCGAGAGGAGAATGGAGGAGAAGGGATTGTGGTGTGGCCATTCCCCCGGGGGGTGATTTCTCACTTTCTGTCTCTCTCCGTCTGGTGAGCGCACGCACCCTATAGCAAAAACCTCTCCCCAAAAAAAGCCAAGCAAAGAAATATTAACTTGAGAGTTCAAAATCCAAACACAATTAAAAAATATTCTGCCCACAGGAACCTGAGTCCACTCTCACCCCGCAGGCCAGGTCGGGACCGCAGCTACAAAAGTGCCCCAACGAAGACGCCAGGTTGGCCTGCCTGTACTGGGTGTGTTCATTATTTCGAAGCCTGAAGATTTTGAAATGCTGTTAAATAACTGATTTGGAGGGCTGGCAGGTGGCATGGTGGTTAAGGGTGCTGGACTCCACATGGTAGTTACAGTCCAAGTCCCAGATCTGGCAGCTTCCTTTCTCACTTTCCCTCTCTCATTCTCTCTCTCTCTCTCTCTCACTCTGTCCCTCTCTGGTTAAATTAAAATAGGTAAATAAATTTAATAACATAATTCTTAAAAAAAAAAAAAAAAAAAACACTGACCTGGGGGCCAGCGCAGGTGGTATGGTGGTTAAGGCACTGGACTCTCACATGGCCGGCCACAGTACAAGTTCCAGGCCTAGAGGTTTTCTCTCTCTCTGTCTGTCTCTGTCTCTCAGGTGAGTATGCATGCCCTACAGCAAAATTAGGAATAATAACAATAAATAAACTTAAATAAATCCTTTTTATAAAAAGCTGATTTAGGGGTCCAACAAGTGGTATGGTGATTAAGGCAACTGGATCTCACATGGTCTGCTTCACGGTTCAGTGGTTTGGAAAACACGCTGGGCATGTGTGTGTGCGTGCCCAGAGTCCCAAGAGGAGAATGGAGGAAGGAGGACTGTGGAATGGCCATGCCAACCCCAAGCGGGGGTTGATTTCTCACTTTCCCTCCGTCTCCTGCTCTGTTTCTCTCTGGTAGCATGCCCACCCTATATCAAAACTTAAAGGGGAGGGGAAAAAAGCTGATTCAGTGCCGGTTCTGTGGCCTACTGGCTAAGGCAGCCAGATTCCACGTGACCAGCTATACAGTCCAAGTCCCGGACCCAGCAGTTTGAGAAACACACTGGTGAGTATACGCGTGTGCCTAAAGTCCTGGAAGGAGGGAGAGATGGAGGAGAGATTGTGGCATGACTACTCTCCATGAGCATACTCTCCTCTCTCTGGCGAACACACACGCTCTCCAGCAAAAACTAAAAAGCTGATTCAAAGGAATCTCCTATCCAGTATGGAAGAGACTCTCATTTGAGCCTGTTGAGCATCACCGCGAAACACGAAGAAAGCACTTCCTCCGTGGCACGTCAGGCCCCGACTCGGGCCCTCGGAACTCACGATCTCTTCACGGATGGAGTAGTCAGCCGTCTCCAGGTAGCTCAGCATCTCAGCCACAATCTGCTGGGCATTGCTGCGGTCGCACATGGCGTAGAGGAGGTCGGCTGCCCGCTGCCGCACGCTGACGTCACGCTCCGTCTGAGGGAGGGCAGCAGGGGCTGGGGTGGATT